ACACCACGTGCGTATCAGATGCACTTTGCGACTCACTTCTCGCTCATTTTAATCCGTGCAGCTCTCCGCTGCAGCTCCATGCTGCTAATCTGCAGTTCACTTTGTAACGCTTCGTGTTCAGCTGCCTCTGGACAGGAATAGTCAGTCCGGCAGTGTGTTAGTCAAAAACAACTGGCAAAGGCTAACCAGCTCTACCAACATATCCCACTCGTTCAGTCTGACCTTTGCTAAACTATGGTTTAGATACATGTATACTAGGGCTGTCAACGAATATTCTATATTCTAAATTATTTTCAAATAGTTGTTAAAAACAACTATTCAAATGTGAAAATTAATATTCAAATGTAAAAAGAAAAAAAAAAACGCGGCGCGAGCGTCTGCTTAGCGGGTGGGCGCGCGTCTGACTACTGACTATATATTGCATGAATAAAATAGACTAGATAGGCTACAACAGTTTCATGCACTGCTTTGATTATTTGCTGTTTCATGCCAAGGAACAGTTCTGTGTTTACAGCACAGCTCGCTCGGACTGTTCAATGTCGGCACTGTTAAACTTTCCGTTTCAATGACCGAATGAAGCCTGACATATTTGGGACAACGATCGCGACCTTAAATTGCTTGCACAAAACTCTTGATCAGCACTCAGCATTTGTTTATTGTTGTCGTTCAATTAAACCGCTTTGTGCAGAGAGCGCGGCGGTGCGAGAGCGAGAGAGAGAGATGTTACTGCGGTGTTACTTAATTTTGTGTAGGTGATGTGTTGTTAAATATGTTTAAACTTAAATAAATAACCAACAAGTAGTTATGTCTCGTTGTATTAATTTGTCCTGTTATTCACGTGCCTATAATGTGCAACCATATATTTGAATATATGTCTTTTTTTTAAAGCAAATATTCAAACGTCCTTTTTGAGCAATTTTGCCAGCGCTAATGTAAACACGCAATAGTCTAACTTATGAGGAAAACTCCTCTTAAAATAAAAATATAAATTACATACAGACATAGAGAAGCACATACACATGCATGACCACATGTACATAATCATTCAGTGGACATAATAATCAACCGGATAAAGTTCAGAGTATTAACTGGATACTATAAACTAAATTGGGTGGTTCTGAGTGAAAGAGAAGGGACTTCCCGCTCCTCATCTCTGCTCAAAACTAGCGCTTACAGGACAAATAGGCTGCTGTCAACATGCGGCTATGCCTTTTTGTGAAAGAGATGTGTTAACATTGTGGCATATTTGAGCAGATCGATCGGGGCCCAAAACCAGCCTCGATCTACCGTGTCAGATTGAGGGTGCGAGAGCTACTTGTGCTGCTCGCCCGGCCATTTATACACTATGGAGTGATGGGCAATGGGGGCAGGGTGGGCGACCCGGGTCTTTAACCACTGATCCCTGATCGAGCCGAAGACTACTGGGAATTAGAAATAGGATTAGCTGACCCTCAACCCCTCACAAGCTTACTGTCATTTATCCAAGTATAGTATATATTGCATTAATCTCCAACTACTGGGTCATATTTCTTTGAAGCACGCCATCTTTGGCCGGCCTGTAATGCATTTGAGCTTAGTCATTAATACGAGAGTATGTTGGGACTACTATGATTAGAAAGTACACATATGATGTATATTTAAAAATGTATATTTCAATGCCGGCAGAAAAGAGGCGGTTTGTTCCGATTGAAAAGCAGCAGCTATAGAATCAGTGCCGCCGTGGCCCATATACAACACAGCTGTCCATCTATGCATAAGATATGAAAAAGGCTGCACTGTTCAGTTTAGTGTCTACGTCAGCTGGGCTTTAGCCAGAGCTCCCACTCTGAGAGAGAGTGAGGGTCAAAACACGCAGATACCGACGGCAAGGTCAGCAAACCAAATAGCAAAGAGAGACCGAACATCCTCATCAGCAGAAAAATGACGGAGACAGAAACGAGAGAGAACTGAGAGATTTAAGATCATCAGAGGGCGTCAGAAGACGGTCTCACGTCTTTGGCTCCTCTAACCTCCTTTGCCAGCTTCCAACCTTGTAAAACTTTCATGAGAGCTGAACATAACCTTATCTCCTCGAGACGCCCAGGCAAATGAGGGACATTCTGTTGAGTAGTCGGCCACACGGGGGGGGGGGGGAGGGGGGGGGCGACTACGACGAGCGCAGCAACTCGGGTGGGCAGATGGTGCAGACATATGGGACTGTTAGGGGGCAAAATAAATAAATAAACACTCACACACAAATACCGAGATGAACTGTGAGTGCCTCAAACCGTTGGCCCGGCGAATGGGAGGGTGTCACCGCGGAAACCGCATGCAGATTTCTAAATGGAGCAATACGGCTGTCCATTGTGAGGGATGACAATGGGCTGCAGAGATTTGAGCTTCTGATTTCAAAGTACTACAATACAAGTGTCCACTGCGCAGATTCCCAGGAAAGGACACACACAGGGTTTTCTGTGCAGGAAATACACTCTTTATTTCCAGGTTATTGATCCAAAGTTATTTCCATCCCCGAGCTGAACTTTTCCCCCGTCTTTCTGGTTCCGCCGCTGCCGTGTTTGCCCTTCCGCCGCATCGCTATCTATACATCCGCCGTCTCTCGCCCCCCCCCCTTGCTCAACCTCAAAGCCTTTGGCTCAGTTCGAGACGGCCGGGTTGAGCCGAGGTGATATCTTCCGGCAAACAAACGGCTGCTTGGTACAAGATGTTCTCTGCCTCCATATCAGCTGCACACTCGCGCCCAGCACCGTAAAGATGTGCTTCCTGGCACAGACGGGCAGGTGAAGGATTATTGAAACGCCGCCACTGTGTAGTCGGTATATATAAAAAGGCATACATGTAAATGCTAATGGTTACGGCTGTGTACCCTGACTGTACATAAAGCAAATCCATGAGTGTATTGACGATATATCCCATATGAGACCATCAGATCTATGATCTGGATTTGCTTCACGGCTTCACACGAGCAGCTTCTGTGCACCAAAACAGCACGTTGTTATGACCTAAGGCTGTTTACACTGAGGCCGTCAGGTCTCGGCACCTGCCGAATAGTAAACCACCGCTGGACGTCATGAATATCCTCGTCGGTTTGGACGAGCAGGAGTAGCAGGCATGACCTTTGAAAATGGACAGACTCTCTGCTCAACGAAGCTCCCGGCTGGTAAACGAATCTGTTATTATAAATGGAGCATTTCTCGTTTTGTCGCTTGTTGCATTTCAGTGTCAAATTAACTAGGTCTCGGTTAGCGTGTGTGTTTGTGTGGCAAAGCTTCTGAGCAAACCGTGTGTGTGCTGCCTACTGCACGTGCCTGCAAACATATTGCCTTATCCCCGAAAAAACACTTGGAGAGTTTTCCACATTCCATCCGGTTTGAGTATATGTTTGGTTGATGAGGCATCGCAGCCACTTTATATTCTGTTTGGCTGTCTGCTTTTGTAATGTCTGTGAATTTAATTTGATTGCTGCTGTAATCTGCCGGCTAGTTTAATTGACTTTGCCGAGCTTTGTTCCTCTCCTACCTTGAAGAAGAGGGGTAGTTGGATAAAATGTCTAACGCTCTCCTGGGAACCCGTGTGCTTCGCTCACCAGAGAGTCTTCCTCTAGAACTGGATAACGTATATTAGGATCTGAAGGCGGAAGCTGAGCTGGCAAGAATATTCATCCATCTTCATGGCAGTGGACAAGCAGGCCCACGGTGATGAAACTTTGCACACATGCATTTGCTCTGATGAGGATTTGTCTTTTGAAAAATCTGTACGATTAATCATTAAATCAAATCATTAGCAAATGCAATTTACAGGGAATAAATGCCAGAGAATCAACCAAACAATGCAACACTTGACAATTTCATCTCCGCTAAATTGAAATGGTAAATGGACTGTACTTTCATCGCGCTTTTCTAGTCCTCCCACCAGTTAAAGCACTTTTCACCCACCCACAGCTGCCCATGTGTGAGAGAACTTACTCACCAATACGGAGACGTAAACCATTTCACACGGCCTTTATCAACATACAATGTTTGCTCACTTATCATGGAGCAGTCTTAAAAAGAATTCAAATGTGACCGGCTCAAAAACTCATCCCGTCATAAAAAGTTAATCTTGATTGGAGACCTAATTATGTTTACTGCCTAATGAAAGGTTGACTCATTGTCTAGATATTCAATGAAATGTTCATCAATATCCTGTCCAGGGTTATATTTTACGGTTATTTCGAGCATATTATTATATATTTAAAAAGCAAATGCTTACTCCGAGCTTGAAACAAGGTTGGTCAAAACTGTGTGTTTAAGTAAAATCACAATCTATTCTAAACCGTCTAGTGTCCTGTAATGAATTACATGCGTGTGGCTTCATACGGTACGCCGAACCTCCAGTGCCGACCTTTCCCACCATCGTAAAAAATAACTTAACTGAAAGCCATCCATCGGCTCCACAAAGAATAATGAGACCATGACCTAGTAGAGTACCAAACCCCCGGCTTAATGGTCCTCAGCACGTTTTACTTTGTTATTGACAAAATAAGTAATCACTATGTGGGTTAATGGTTAAAAGTGCATGATCAATTGTGCCGGTTTAGATGATCTAGTTCACTACATAATACACACACACACACACACACACTCGATAACAAAAGACTCGGTGCCCTATACAGACAAATGAGAGAAAAATCATCAGGTCAACATGCGGGCTTCGGGCCCCTGATATCAAAATGCTGTTCAAATTTAGTGAAAGCGAAATTAAGTCTCTTACGGGGTGTGAATGAAGGAAAACATTGCAGAAGCCGACCACAACAAAAGGATTTCCATGGAGCCGTGAATGCAGAATGGTGCTTGTTTTCATTGACTCATTTAATTAAGGGAACTTCATTAGACTGTTCTTCAGTTCATTAAGGAATTTCATCTGAATGGGCAAGATCACGCACAAGATAAACACCACGCACGTGCTCCACTGCGCCGCACACTCTCGCATGCACGCCGCGAGAATCACTCAGAGTAACTTACGGGTTGCCATAGTCCCAGACGACGCACTGTGGATCTGATGTACCCTGTAAGACACAGAAGAGGGAGGGGAAGAGGGGAGGAGGGGAGGAGAGGGGGGTAAAAGCTGTTATTGCTAGTCGAGAAGAAGAGTGAGAGAAGACAGAATAGCTGGTTGCCAGAGGAGGAAGAGTGATCGCTGCATGGGCGATGAGGAGAGGTAAACAGACAATGAAAGATGCTGATTGAGATGGACGTGGTGGTGGTAGGGAGGGGGGGGGGGGGGGCGAAGAGTCATTGTCAGGGGACAGAGCAGCAAATGGCTGCTGCTGCAAAAAGAAAGTAGGTTCTCGAAGGAATTGAGAGGCCGAGAAGAGGCCATTCCGTGGACAATGATGAACTGCAAGTTGGGGGTATAAAGATAACATTTCCAAACAGTTGTGGATTTTATTTTTTACCTAACGTGCAACCAGAGTGAAAAGTGGTGACGAACAATTGAGTAACTTTGAGGCAGTAAAATGCACTTCAGTATAACACATTTATTTCATATTCTATATGCTATATTCTGAGAAGGAAATGGACCACGTATTGTAAAGTCCCACAACACCTCACAGCAGTCGGATCGGTGGGGATATTCTATCCAGCTCAGTCTTAATCCATCGACTAGCTGGAGCCCAAAGCCAATGGTTGGGGGGCCGAGAGGCCCGTGAATCATGAGGTAATTTAAAGCTCAGTCACACATGAACAGGAAGACTCCCTGTGACTCAATCAGAGGATCAATATATTTAACTGACTCACAACTGGTTCCACAAGTCCTCTGTGATCTCTGCATTGACTGCTTTTAAAGAGTCGTCTGTGCCCTCTCAACATTGACCAATTGGTTTTGAAGGGGGGGGGGTTCTTCTCTGGATCAAATACATTGATAGGAAAGCCACCCGGTACTCTTTCTCGTCCTTTACAGTCAGTCTGATCTGAAACTAAATTGGGTAGCCACAATTAAAATCCCAGAGATCCCGGTCTATACAAGTCTGTTGGTCCTTCCTGAGTCCTGTATTAAGCCCTTTGCCTTTGAGCTCCCCCTTATGGTAAAGGACATTATAGCAGTATTTCCACAGCCCAACGGAGCTGTTCAGATAAAAAAAATACCATGAAAGTAGTGAACAATTTGAAGATCACCTCTTCCTAAGTGTGAAGGTTAAACTTGTTTATTTTACAAATAACACTAGCCATTTAAATAAGGCCAAAAGGAGAGAAGGAGGCGATGGACACTCCATGCAGCCTGCACCAAAAGGATTTATTCATCTAAAAGTCAAGGTCACTCTTCTCTGAATAACTCTCTGCCTGTCTGAAACTAGGTGGAGGGAATGATGCAAGGATTATGTACACAGGATCAGAGGCTGGGCGATTGATGGATGACGGGGCTTTGTTCTGCCTCATGCGCAGACCGCCGCCAACATTAGATGTCCCTGGGCGGGCATTAGCGCGGCGGGCCCCATTAGCATTCCACTATCAATCAGCATGCATCATGACCCACTGTATTGTGCAGCGTGACTGACACGCGTCTACTCCCACCATGTCTGCCTCCCCGTTAGCGCTGATTCGTAGCGTAATGACGGCGTCTGCGTGACTGATGCACCTCAAAACGGAGGGACGCGTGTCTGATTGTAACAGCTGCGTTTGTGACGGTAATAATGGCAAAAACCTCAACAGCTCTCTTTTACTTTCCGAAGGAGCGGCCATTTTGTTCAGGGTATTCATGTTGCTGTAAATCGCTTAAATGCTTATTGACTGTGAATATGGAGAAGATGAGGAACATAAATGCGAAGGCTAAGTGAAGAACAGCTAGAGGACGGCGCCCGGGTCTACTGGTCCACTTTAAATAGATGAGGAGTTGGGAGCAGATGTCCTCCCAGTGAAGACATGACCGAGAAGAGACCCCTACAGTGAACCCCCCCATCGAGAGCGTAGCCTCGGGCAGCTGCTGCCCTGGCAATGCTGCAGGAGCGAGGTGTTTCTACAACTGCCAAGGTCGACATTTAGAGCGCTGCCGCTGAAGACCATGACAGGAGACTCCGCTCTCGCTTTCATTCCTTCGCCTTCACTGGTTCCCTTCATCATTTCCGACGAATGAAGTTCAGGCCAAGCTGAGAAATGATCGACATACGTTATTTCGGTTCACTTTCAGTAGTTTTCACCGAAAACACTAGTTTAACTTCAGAGCTACCTGGACGTTTTACAATGTGGTCGGTCTTTACGCTGAGCTATGCGAACGGGCCGCTAGCTGTGGCTTCATACCGAGATGGTATCGATCTACTCATACAACTCTCGGCCTTACAATTTGCCAGATAGAAAAACTGCACAATCAATTCAGTGCAAAACATAAATACATTCTTTTTTGGTTATAAAAAAACACTGGGCATTGATTTTTTGCTTTAAGGAGGAACTAAAACACTAACTAAATCAAAAGCAATCACAGATATGAATACTGGTTTGCATTTCAAATTAAACAAATTGATATTTTACTAATGACTCGTCTTGTGCAGTAACATTACATTTTTTGTATGGGAGACATATATAGTAATTTTCAAATGACCTCAACCAAATATTCCTCGTGAGGTTGGTTATTGTGGAGATGAACTTCTTCCGTGTATTTGAGACACTTTTAAATAGCCGTTTTTATAAAGTGGAGACGTGGAGTCCTTTCCCAGACGGGCTCTAATGAAAACGCACTATTCAGGTGCTTTACGATGAATAACCGTTCTGGTGGGTGTCCGCTACTTCAGGAAAACAAAAGCACCTCAAGTCAGGATATCTCAGCCTCTCTTCACATCTCCAAAATGCTGGGGGGAATGATGCAAAATAGTGGTATTGTCCCTTTAAGCAGGATGAGAGATCCCTCACAAACACCAGTCTCAGGTACGCATGTGTGCACCCCAGGCAGTACTGCGCTGGCGCTGTCTGTCCTCAGCGGGTCCCCGGGTTTATCAGTCCAAAGCAGAGAGCTTGGATCAGCATTGAGACATCTTTCGCCAGACAGCGGGTGAGAAACCTTCAGTGCCACTGCTTTGCCAAAAGTGTTAAAAAGCAGAATAACAGGGCGATAAAGGATAGAGGCATCTAAAGGAAATGCCATAATTAAGTAATGAATCAGTGGTTTAAAGCGGTGAGTGAGATGGAGTGGCGGCGGATGGAGAATGAATACAAAGTCTTTATAATGAAACGGTCTGCAATTATTTTGTCCCTCGGGTCATGGTTGACACAGCAAGAAAACGATTTCACTGGAAGATTTAACTGTGTGTTTCTGTCGTCTAGATAAAACCATTAAATATATTAAACTTTATTTTGAAAATCTTTGCCCACCTTTGCGCATAAGAATGTTTAATGAAACCTAACGTTGCATCTTATTGAGGTCATGAAGAGTGGCTCTCATTAAACTTGCACTTGAAGACACCACACGAGTCATTTATAATAACACACTCTGCTGTAATATAAACTGAATAGGCACCAGGAGACACTACGGTAAAAGGAAGTCAAAAAAGGTCTGCATTTATTCAGGCTATTGCAGCACTATGGCACTTTATAGCATGCAGCACTTTCTCTTTCTTCTTCAGCTGGAAGGTAAGGAATCCCTTTAAGCATCAACTGTGTTTTTTGGGCCAAGCTTAAAATTAAAGTAAAAAAAAAAAAAAGTGCCTTATGGAAGTTTTTTTTTGCAATACTTTAATTTCAATGAGAGAGTAAGAGTTTTTACTGGTGCTTTATAGCTACGAACTCATCTGGTTTGGGGAAGTTTTGATAATAAAAGCAATCTCCCTCACAGTCTTGAAATGGGCCACTATTTTGTGATGCAGTAAAGCTACCAAACATTGTTTTTGTTTTGGGCTGGGGAATGCCAGAGATGAATAAAGGAAAAACTTACATTAAAAAGGGGAGCCAGCTCCACCACCACCATGGGCTTGCTGGGTTGCAGTTCCGGACGTATCGTCACTGTAAGGATCTTGGAGTTGATCACTGCAGGGAGGCTGGGAAGACACGCACAAAGAAAACATTGTTTTGTTTTTTTTAAAGAACTGTGAATTCAAGTTTGGTTCAAACTGTTTGTATGATTTTGAAGGACACGGAAAAAAAAAGTACTGCTGAGTTGTTTTATTATGCTGTTTGTCACACACACAAACTCAGAAACAGGCGTTTCGAGTACCCCGCTATGCTTCTGATGTATTTTGAGTGTGTATGCAGAAATGTATAAATAAAAATATCATTAGAAAGGGATAAAGGGGGAGCTAGCGACTGAGTGAAAACGGAACAGGGGCCCTATTGCAATTCAGCAGAGCCACAGGGAGAAAAGGGTCCAACTCAACCACAAACAAGGCCGCCGACCTGGGAAAAAAAGAAAAGGGCCACGGGCCAGCACACACACACACACCAGATCACAGTGGCGTTTTGACAACCTCCTCATTCCTCCTCTCTTCTATTTTTGCATGTGCCATACTAGTTTTAGAACCCATTAGGCCAGAACCCATCCAAAGACCACTGTACTCTAAAAATACTCTGACATGCAAAACAAAGTTAAAACATCGAGGGAAATGTAGTTTCTTTTTTGGGAGATCCAAGACATTCGGCAGACACAAGGACAGGAGGGAAGCAATAGAGATATCATGAGAGAGGAAACATATGTAGAATTGGAGGTTGGAATTAGATAGAGAAGAAACAGATGAAAGTGCACGGAAATAGAAAGGAAGTGAGAAGGGGAAAAAAATATGTAGAGGATGGATGTTGTTGGAGAAAGGGTTTCAGAAAAAGATGCAGAAAGCCCAAACAAAAGGAAAGGAAAAGTACCACCAGTTGAGATATTTGTGAAAAAGTAAGACGACTTAGTCAGCGGACTCACTTTGGTGCTGGCAAGATGACGCCCAACGTCCTGTACAAGATGGCTCCAATGACATAGTACATTGGAGACTCTGGCTCTGCCTCCGTCTCCGTCTCTGTGCGCTCTGAAACACAATGTGACCAATCAGCATAACCAGATGGCATGGTTTACCTAAATCGTCTTCAAAATCTATCACAAAAAAAATGTCATCTTCACCTACAGCACTTGTGCAAAGACGCAGGATTCTGAAGATGTCTTTTTTTTGAACAAGTACAGCTAGAGATCTATGGTAAGACTTGCTAAACTCATGTGTCGGATCAAGGGACCATTGCAGCAAATTAATCATTCAAATATCAGCAGGTTGTATGTTGACTGGGAAGATATAGGAAATGACATTTTAAACCAATCTGACATTTAAATCAGAGGTTGGAGAGAGCAGCCATTTGTTATTTTATGTAAATAAACTAGATACAAATCTATTAGTTGATAAAAGAAATGGGGTGTGATTTCGATTCGTGGCATCAACCCACAATTGCATCCTCATTTACATTAACTGGCGCTGATAAATGCTCTGTTGACAACATAAAAATAGGAAGAGTCAGTTAATTGCAGCGCTTGGCATGACAGCCACATATTCCATGCTTGGACTCCTGATCTTAAAATGTTTCACTTTATCAAGTGCAAGATCTTGGTTTCACACTGTGTGTGGGTGAATGCACAATTTATGTCAACTGCTTTGTCTTTTAGCAGCTCAACTATTACTCAGCAGAAGCATCATTTCTAAAACCAACTCCATTATTTTAAAAACTGTCAATAAAGCAAAATTGTCCGCGCATCTTTAAATCTTATTTCCAATGTTTCAAATCCCCTTTCTTCCTCCTCAGCGCTCTTCCTGATATTTGTGCTTTATAACCCCAACATTCCCCTTGGTGTTCTTTTGGCAAAAAGAGACGGGGCTCCCAAGGAGAAGTGGTGTTTCTCTGTAAATGTCACTTTGTTTAATGTGAAGAAAGCAAAGGGGAAACGGGGGGGGGGGAGGGGGAGAGGTCATGTTGAGGGATTCCACTCCCTCCTTTGCCCTTTCAGGCTGAGAGAAGCAAGAGAGGAGCATTGGCACAGCGAGGGGAAGAGAAAGAGGGGGGTCGATGGTATCAGACAAACAGGGTGACTCGTCCAAAATCTGTCTGCCTGCTGAAGAGGTAATATTCAGAAAGCTATGCAAGGTGCGAAAAGAGGGAGAGACGGAAAGATCTCAACAGTGTGGGAGGCGGGGGGGAGTGGGGCAAGATGATGGATCCTAATTGGACAGTGTCTGCAAAGGCATGCAAATGAGAAAGTCAGTGTATTGTGGGTAAATGGTAAATCACTGGATGATGGGGGTGTGTGGGGGGGGCTACTCCTACGCAAGAGGATGATTAATACCACAAAAGCACTCAATCACCAAACCCTAATTTCCCATGAACAGACCTTTTGTCACTCTCCGCTGGCTGAACACCTAAATGATTGGTGGTCAGCTGTAATCCAGCAAAACGGTAAACCGCCAGTCAGCAGCTGTGAACTTCAATATGCTATTTGTCAGGAAAAGATATGCTTGGAGTTGATGCGGCGCCACGATTTTGTGGTTTTAATCAAAGACCGAAAAGCTCCCTCCAAACAGTTCTATCGGAGCTACTCCTTTCATTCTTTCCTGGCTTCTTTCCGCTCGGTGTTCGATGTTTTCACCTTCGGAAACGGCACAGACGTGTTTTAAGAAAGAGCACTTTGGAAGAGCATTCATTCCACGCAACAGTAAAGCTCAGAAAAATTATATAAAAACTACAATGGTGTCTTTAAGGGTCAGTGATTTCATTATTTGCAACATTACCAAATACCATGTATTTGACCAAACTAGTCATGCTGTTGATTGTTGTGCGAATAGAACATGCTATTCATTACTTTGCCAAAAGGTAAACGAGACGATCGGTAACACTTGCATCTCAGTATGTAACACGTGGAGCTGGAAGCAGGACTTCATTAGCTTAATTAGATGGGAAGCAGGAGTTAATAGGTGTCAACCTTACAAAGATCAGCAACACGCCTACCAACACCTCCGTAGCCACCGAGGTAATACTCGGTTTACCGTGCAGGGAGCTGTATTATCATTCCAGGAGTTCTGTTTATGTATTTGTAGTATTAGTATTAAGAAATTGTTGAATGTACCAGAAGGTAGAGTTTCAAACTTGAAAGAGAGCCATGCTTTTCTGTTTGGCCATTTGCCATTTGTTTAAGCTGAGTAAGTATTTCACTTTTTTTTTTGTTGTATCTCTGTGCTTGATGGAAAGACCTGAAAGTGGCATCACTATCCTCACCTCTCCCTTTCTCAAAAGAAAAACGCGGCCTTTTCCCTAAAACGTCAAACATTTCCGATCGGATACAAAACTTTTACTTCGGCAGCAAACCGCAAATTCTCTGCTCACCGGTAATATTTGGAGATTCAAGTCTGCCTCTAATCACCGCACTGATTACCATCCTCTCACCGGGAATCAGGTATTATAAATATGGTCATTGCCGGCTGGTAGGTTTGGGTATGCGTGTGCGTGTGTGTGTGTGTGTGTGTGTGTGTGTAGCTGTGAATGTGTGAGAAAGAGAGACACAGGGAGTTTGTCACTTTAAAAAAAACGGTGAGAAAGATTCCCAGCCTCTGCCCAGTGAAGCGATTCATGAACCCATCAATTGGCTGCGTGCATGTGCGAGTGTGTGCGCACGGGCACGCACAAAAGTGCCAAAGGGCCCTTATGAACACATTTAAGCTGTCCATCGGAGATAGGCTTTCATTATGGGTTAAATGAACCAATCAAGCGAAGACCCCAATGAACAGCCATGGGAAGAGGCACAGTTCCCACGAATATAACTAATAACGCTATAACAACAACATGCAGTTCAGATGAAACAATTTGTGCAAAAAAAAACATCGGCACGGGCCGAATGACATAGGAATGAATAGCAGAGGTAATTCCATGTAGCCGATCACTTTTATTGCACAGCCGCGAACAACCCATTCAATCTAAAAGGACAACCGTAACATAATAACATTCATCCTTTGGAATATTGGAGTTTGCTGGAAAAAACGCATGAGCCGGTTGTGTTTTACGGAAGCAAGACGGACGGTTGGCTGGAAGAAGAGCGCCGCACAAGCGTATTGCGTAGTGCATGATAACGAGAGGGCGAGTACGTGAGCGCAGGTGAGGCGAGGTGCCCTCAGGGCGAGCTTGCAGGGCGTCTTGAACGCCAATCAAAGGCGAGTCTGTGTCATCAGAGAGAGTCAGAGGTCAAAGAAAGCTGGGCTCTCGCGGGCCTGCAGCCTCTCTGAACTTTAATTCGGGCGTGGGGCGGGTTGCCAGACAGGATGTCTGCCAGTGTAATTTCCAGTGGGTAATGACCTTTGCCTTTAGTCAGCGCTGGGTAATATCTGCCACAGCAATTCTTGACTAATATAAGACTCCTCTTAACAAAACCGCTCTTAAGCTTCCGGTGGTTTTCTTTCCGGCGATTTGACACACTTTCTCTCACAGATGAAAGACCTGCATCTCTTTGAGAAGCCCTCCAGACCTTCTTTCCGGTCCCAATTATTCTCAGCGTTACCCTTCGACATCCTGGAGAAGCTCTCTATCTGCTTTCATGAGGACACATGTCTGAGAGTTGGAATCACCACAGCGATAGCTTTTTGATCCGACCTCGGCTGGTGAGAGGGTTAAGGGGTGACAACATGTTCTCTTGCTTACTAAAGAGGAGGAGTGAGGATGACGAGTAAAAAAAGATCTAGATCACGATTACCGACGACTTCTCTAGAAAAAAAACGCTATACAACTGATGTTGTGTTTTATGTACACTACATAGGCTGACCGAGCCTGTGTGTTAATATATTATATTATTTGGCAGCCATATTTATCTTGCTTACCTTCAGCTGGGGTGACAAAGACCTCTTTTGGGATGTAGAGCTTGTCCTCTGCAGTTCTGGCCCAGTCCTTCATACCTCTCCGGCCCTTCATGGGGAAATTGATATCACTGGAAACTGCTGACACCGGCTCTCGCTGGACGGTAATCACTGTAGAAGTAAAAGGGATATCACATGGAGTCAGAAAACAACCGCCATAATATCTGAACAGATAAAATAGATCATTTGAAAATGGCTTTTTGAAATAAAGATCTCGGGTGAGCTTAACTGAGGATGAACAACAGTGAAACCATGTAACTCACATTCTGATCTTATCTGGAGAATTATGTGAATAGTGTCTGCTTTTTTGTTTTTATCTGACTGTCGTTCTTTGTCGTGTGGCAGCGTTGTGTGGTGCTTACTGAGGTTGCTGGTGACCACCAGGAAACTCTGGAAAGGCTTCTGGGCTTCACCGATGAGGTGAATGAAATCCTCTATTATTCTCATCAGCAAAGCAGCACCGGGAGTGACCTGGTGATCGTGGGGGCGGAGCGAGGTTAGCAGCGTTCACGGCGTAGTCGGAATAATTACCCCGTGCAAACTTTCTGCATCGCCCACTGAAACATTTTCATCCTCTGCATTATTGCATTTGTGTTCCGGGGCGGTAAATTGCAACCAAGTGGGATATAGTATCAAATTATAACCACATTTAGGATTAACATAGTAGGCGGCTATTGATTATGGGGAAGCGCTATATATAGAGCTAAACACAGAGAAGCCTCACCTGGTGGGCGTCCTCCCATTTCTCAAGATTTTCCATGTCCAACATCAGGCTTAAAACCTGGAAGAATTTCTAGACAGAAAACAAAGATGTGGTTAATGCAGCAAAGCCGTTCCTTTTTGGTAATTCCTTCTGTTTGCATGTGCATTAAAAAGTTAGCTATTGCCCCCTAAAGTATTAGCCTGCACCCACCAACCAACAGTACTGCTGCAGAATATCTGTGACTGAATGTTGTTAGACATGAAAAAATATCCGTCAACCCTCTTAAAAGCTGTGAAAAGACCAAAACGATGATGAAAGGTGGGGGGGTGGGGGGGGCTCAGAGGCTGAGCTTACCTGCACGTCGTCGGTAGCTGGGATGTAGGTTGCTCTTTTGAAGGTGTCCGTCACATTTCGCAGGATCTCCGTGGAAAAGAGAAGGTCACCACTGTAGTAGCTCCTCCTCTGCAAGAGCTCCAGGAGACTCCTAACGATCTGAGACATCCCCTCCCCGGCCAGGGTCCTCTGACCCTTCGCGAGATGCTCTCGTAACTACAATGCACAGAGAGGAAGAGACATTCAGAGGACTCGAGGGGTCTCGCCTGTGTTTGTAGCATAGCGAGAGGATTCCATGCACTTACTGTCACGAACAGAGAGCAAAGCAAGGATTAGGTTTTTTTTTACATCAAATCAAAGGACGACTTAGGACGTGAGTTCAGATGGGTGTTTCGGGACTGTGGGACATACAGAAGATTCACGTTTGGATTTTTGTGCTTGTGATTAAAATAGGTGAGCAGCTGCTCAACACGTATAGCGAAAGCAAGACTGTGAATGTGAAGTTCAGAGAGAGAGAGAGAGAGAGACTGCAAGAAGTGAAGATAACAGCAATCACATACAATTAATTATTGACTCCTGGTGTTAATGAAAGGTTGGAACAGAAGCTAACAGTGCAATCAGCTCCGTCACGTACAATCCATGACCCCATCTCCCTCTGCCATCATCGAGGAGATGAGATAGGGTTGAAGTTCACAGAGTAGGAAAATAGTCTCCCTGATGAACACATTCATTAGCTACGTTCATTAAATGATAGAGTGTGAGTGCAAAGCTCTCGGAAAGCTAATTAGAGATACCGGTAAAACCCTGAGTACTGTTTTGCATAAACTTCTTACAAAAGAAAGATGAACACAGGTACATAATGGGGGGGAAAAAAAGAAGAAAAACTGAGACGGAATTCTTCACACAGGAGACGGTGAAGTTTGATGAAGATGAGTTGTGATAGAAGGTGAACTAACTGGCTCAAATGAAGGACGAATGGTCTTCTTGTTGAAGAGTTTCAGAGTGTGTAGTAGTGGAAGGAGGCAACTTACAGATACATGTAAATGTCTATATTCAAATGAGACGCATCTGGCGAAGCTCGGAGGACCCCAGAAAGCAACTCCGTTATTGTCCAGCATGCAACGACGACTAGCAGATCCTAGACAAAGAGAGGAGCAGAGAAAAAACGTCCATATCACAAATTCACAAAGTCTGAGAACACATAATGACTGTGAGTCAGGAAAGCCTTGATCTATTGTGAATGAACCTGTCATTGTGAGTACTATGCACATGAAGGGTAAATGAAGAACAATTTTTGTACAAAAAAATGAATTCTAGATACAAAAGTTATTCCCATCAATAGCATTCATTTTCCCTAGCCCGATAAATATGCACTCAGTGAACTCTGGCTCTGCGTTTTAGTAAGAGAGACGCGTAATTAAACTAGTTTCATGGCTAATTGAATTGAGTGCATTTATTTACCTTCAATGTAATGCGTGTGAAGTTTAAATGGTTTTCTGGCACGCTACCAAATTCATGCAGTCCTCTTTGGATGTCAGAGCGCACACCGTGTATGAACACATACACATTGAACATATACCCGTTGAAGTGTGGAACAACGGGTCTATTACAGGTGTTCTCAACCACATCTGCTTTTTGCCTTCTCACAAAGTCTAAAAAGAATTGATGGTTGCTCTTGCTTTGTCGTTTGCTTCTTTATTTCTCTCCTTGTATCTGGCTAACATTAACTGCCGAGTTGTAGGATGCAATTTACGGGGGGGGGGTAACAAACTTGCGTTTGTCTTTCCGGATTTTATTTTAGGCCAGTTAACATCTGAAAATAGTTTGTCTTGTGGATTTATTTTTGATTGAGTTTGAGTGTTTGTTGTTTCTGACTCTCTCTTAACTAGGTCTGATCACAAATACTACCCGATACCTTTCTTTTCCCCACTGTAGCTAGCTCGGCTCATGCTAACTACAAGGTGATCCGGTTTGTTTACCTAATTAATAAAAATCAATGACAGACATTTTCTGTTCTGCCTCTGCGTTTGTGTTAAATATTGCTTATGCTAACTACACAGTAACAGGGGGCAGAAACCTCTGCTGGACATGTTTTAATCCTATCTGGTTTGAGTAATTGATTACATTACGTAACATCAACTCAAGAGTTTTATAAAATACCATCATGCAACTAACCAGTAGTGTTGGTTGGACACTTGTTGTAGACGGTTTCTCCAGCTGAGGCTCTCTTCCATGACATGGAGAGAAGATGCTCTTCTTTACATATCTCATGAGGAGCTGTAGAGGTGGGTGAGAAATACATTGAAAGGGCGAAATGAAGCACAGTCTGGTTGGCACGCGGAAACTAATAAAAATCACCACGCGCACGCTGCCACAGACACACCGTCGTGGCAGCAAAAAAAAAAAAAGCGGGAGACGGAGAAGCACAAAAAACAAGATTCAAATCAATGTTCTCCTGCAGCAGCTCCCAATCTTATTCCCTTGTACATTTCTCAGTGCTCTCTATCAGTGTCACTGCCTCCGTACAGTATCTCATTCCCTCTTCATCTTAGCCCTTCTCTTTATTCATCTATTTTCCCCCTCCCTTCTCTTTCATAACCCTGATGAAAAATCGGGTGAGAGCACTCTGAAGATATTCCGGTGGGGGGAACAGGGGGGTAGAGGGGGGGGGAGGGGGGGCAGACGAATGTTGGCAGCATCGATGCAGAGAGATGAAGAGGGACGCAGACGGGGGCGGAGAGGGAGAGGGAGAGAGAGAGAGAGAGAGAGAGAAAGAGACGCTGAAAGCTAGAAAATGTGATATGTTCCCCTGAAATGCCAACAGATGAGATCCCCGTCTTGTGTAAAAGAGGTTTGGGAGCTACTCAAAACAAAGAGGTCACGGAGGAGGCTGCACTCAGAAGATTATTATTTGGAGCTTGTCGGGGCTCAAAGCAAGCAAATACACATGTGGCATTCGGGCTCGCGCAGAAGATGCACTTTCATTTGAAAAACGCACGCGCCGCTTCAGTCAAAAGGTATGCTTATTAAAACACGCTATTTTCTGCAGCTGCTGACACTCTGACATTAGACGTCTACCCCACTAACAGGCAGAGAAACAGAAACGAGAGAAAGCAAGCGAAAGGTGTGATGGCAACAGTGCTAAAGAGGAGAGATGCGAGGAGAGTATCCTCGCAGGTAACTTGAGAGGATACATGGAAAACACGAGCAGGGGGAGGAAGTGCAAAATCAATCAATCAATAACGAGGCAAATATGGACGAGTAGGTGAATTGACAGACAAGAGGCATAAAGATTAGATTGCAGTAGGAGCCTTTGGCTGTGGTGCGAACCACTGGGAATCACTTCTGCCGGACAAATAGTGTGAATTTGTAAAGTTTGGGCTCACACAGATACACGGCACACGCTTTTCTCTCTCATAGGGATCAGTGCACCCACGCAAAAAAAAACTAAACAAAATGTTTCAGGCAAAAAATGTGTGTGATTTTCAAGCAGCCCGAGTATGTACGTAGGCATCCCTACATTGAGCTCCTCAGCTCTCTTGTCACACACACACACACACTGACCAGGGCACTTCTTCTCATTACAGGACCGGACCTCCTCTCCCGAGCCGTCGCACTGGTAGCCCTGCAGTCCGCTGCCTTCACACATCCTGAAGCGACGCTGGGAACCGGAGTCGCACGTCTTGCTGCAGAGACTCCAGTGGTTCCAGTTGCCCCAGTTACCTCCACCTGGAGCCCCAACACGGCACCGCCGGTGAAGTTATGGGAGCGGGGGAACCAGACCGGCGCGTAAGGTTGGAAAAAAAATAAAATAATGGAAGGTGTCGAGTAATGCATAATAGTAGGCCTTACCGCTGCAGGAAGGGTTGGTGCATTCCCTGCTCTCCTGGTGGGGGCCCTTACATTCGGCCCAGCCGTGCACCGACGCACTGCAGCGCCTCTGCCTCTGCTCGCTTCCCGTGTTACACGTTACGCTGCATCTCGACCAAAGCCCCCACTCCAGCCACTGGCCCTCCACTGAACAGAGGGGGTGGAAGTAGATAGGGAGGGACGCACAGGGATTTCGTGATGAATTGATTTACGAAGGAGGCAAAAGAAAAGCACAAAGGGAGACAAAACAGGGCAGAAAGAAATGGAAGTTAAAAGAATGTAAACAAATTGAAGAGGCTATTTGTTTTTTTTTCCATAAATAGCAACAAACAAACACACTTTATGTTGCTACGGATATTTGAAATATTTCAATGTCTGATGAAACACCTGATTGCAATTCATTTCATGCTGTGTTTTGAAGAGTTCAAACAGAGTACAGATGTTGTATTTTCATTCAGAGTGCAATTAGAAAGGCAACTGACTTCAACTATTAACTCCAAATGGACAAATAAAACCAACACATTATTAATACAATCCAGCAGTGCCTGTCGGACCAGGCCGGAATACCAAACAGCTTCACCAAAGCCCGATCACACGCACAGGTGTAATCAAAGCCCGAAACGCCGCCGTTATTAAGGGAGCAGCGCCGGTGTAATTGAGTTGTCGCATGAAATATGCAAAATCCCAAAGAAATATGACGAACACAAAAAAGGCAGATTAATCATGTATAGTGAGTGCAGGAAACATTTTTGGGGTTTGTCATCAACTTTGAAGCTGGTTACAAGACAAATTTGAGGACCCGTGTCAAGGAAAGGAACACGATGTTCTTCTGTGAAGATGCACGACAGCAGATGGAACTATGTGACAAATGAATTGTCATATAGTTCTTTGCTGTTTCACATTTTTGGTTAAAAGTCCAAATTTGACAGATGAACCAATTACCGACCTGTGACCATAACTATTTATATTTCAGAATACTGTTGATTAAAAGGGAGTTAATATGCCAATCGGTTATTTTGGTGACAATACATCTTCCTATAGTAACGCAAGGGTGAGGAAGGCTGTCTTCAGCCTTGCAAGCTTCCGTGTAGGTTATGCATGACTGTACAGTAGTCTTTTTTTTCTATTTGAACAAGAAAAGCAATTTAAAGTGAGCCCTGTTCTTTTTCTCCCTGCTGAGAATGATATATTGAGGCACACATTTTAACCTACACACGGGGGGCTTTAGGTAGCAGATAAGGCGAAAATACAGCGTGGTGTAAATGTATTTGTCTGGTTCTCCCAAGTGGGAAAGCATTGCCAACTCTCCTCGGTAATGTGGTCAATCAAGCTGCGTGCGGCTGTTACTCTGCTGGTAACAGCACTGTGTTGGGGATGACATTCACCAAATGAGCTGAGGGAGCATGAGTGAGCTTGAACGTAAGTGTGAACGTGACATTTCTCAGAGTCTTATTCTGATTAACTAAAGTGACGGGTCTGGAAAAGCTTCCAAAACACAAGAATAAACCATCTCATCCCCTTCCCTTCACTGTGAAACACTCGGTCCTTGAAAATATGCTGGAATGTTGTAGAAATTAGTGATGATTGCAAGCGACTTTTGCAGAAGTAGCAAAATAATTGATTTTCAATGCGTAAGTTAACACTAAAAAAAACTGATGAAATCAAATGAATTATTCAGGCAAAACCTAGTGAAGCAAGCAAAAATATATTAGGAGGTAAGCGTCAAGTTTGTAAATGGGTGTAAAACGCTGTACTGTGGATCTCATTAGTCAGTTAAAGAATTATTTGCAGTGCGATCCAATCACAGACACACACAACTGGCCACACACACACATACACACAAGATCCATCAAAGCTCTATTTTCTATACATGGCAGTTTCTGCCAAAAGGGCTATGATGGTATTTCAAAGTCCCACTGCCTTTGAACTCCTCAAAGCACACTGTATCTCTTGTGGAAGATTCACATACTCATACATAAACACATAAACCGTATGAGGACACTCATACAAAGATTTCCTGAAGGCCCTTGAAGGAACAGCCTCTCCTTTTCCCAAACGCTCTATTTCTATCCCTGTTCCCGAAACAGCATGGCAAAACATCCCAGAGGCTAGACTTTGGATTATGTTGTCTCCCTATTCCTCCCTCTCTGAGACATAACTTTGCAGCCTATTTGTCTGGCAATGGGGATATTTTTGCTTTATTTAAATATTAACACTATAGAAATCTTGCGTTGAAAAAAAGCTATTGGTAGTTTTGGAGTGTGAGAACAAAAAAAAGAGCAAAAAAAAACAGGCTCCAGCAGCGTATATATATATATATATATATATATATATATATATATATATATATATATATATATATATATATATATATATATATATACAGTAGGATACCTTAGCAGCAATAAATAAAAAGCACTTACCCTGGGATAATTGCTCAGCTGTGAGGGATTACATTCTATACACGCAGTCTCACTCTAACTAAAATCAATTCAGGAAATAAAAAGGTTGTTGTTGAGAAAGCAGCCACCAATTTCGAAAATGAACAGTCTTGTGCTTTAGTGTCGGTGCATCCATTAATGCCATTATCCCAATGCTAGAGACCATTCTCAATCTGCCAACAAAGAAAGCGTGTATCAATTTAAATCACTGAAATAAATACTCCCTCCTAATGCCAATGCTTTCAAAGTAAGTGGTTTGCTAATGGGACGCTTGAGATACAACATTTGAAGTGTGAGAATGCCACGAGTGTACTTTAAGTGTTGAGATGCCATAGGTTTTTCCTTTTGGCTAGATTTAGACTGTGGTCTCTTAAATGAGTCGCTGAGGTTGACCAGTATTTACCCGAGTAGAGGAGTTGACATCTCCACCTCTACATATGTTCTGTGAAAGGCTCCGGAAGTCATTGTTCGGAACCTGCCCGGCTGTCTTTTGACAGTCTGCTCTATTGAGACGTGATTTCAGTCCTTTTACCACTCTCAATGCAACCTGCAAAAGATGTTTCAGCTTGACAGTATGGGCCAAATTGAAATGAAGTCCTTTGCCATGAGAATTGGATGGGGCTGCTCCAGTAACGGAGAACGGAGATCTTGACAAGCTACAGGTGTGCCGGCCTAACAGGTAACCTCGAGACAATATCTGAAGACCGTCACTGCAGGACTGCTCTGCAATCCAAACCAAATCCACCATGGAGGAAGCAAACTAAATGCTTCGTCTGGTTAGGACCCGTCAGGATGGCAGAGGGAAATCCCAATGCTCACCAAAGATGAATATAGAAGTAAGAGATACATTGAATATTAACCCAATTAATGTTTAGATATTTCAACCTGTGACACTAACATTACCAAATCTAACTAAAACACAACACATGAAAGATGACTGCTGGTAAATTCTTTGTCCATACTCACTCCAGCAGACAATAGAGCAGTTTAATTGACCAGTATTTGTATTTGTGTCTATATAGAAATTTATTTACAGGTAATCACAGCAGTCATCAAGTTGCTATAGCGGTTAGAAATGCTCAGAATTGTGTTGGCTGACATAAACTGTTTCCTCCACCCGAGAGCAGCGAGTTATTACAGTCGGCATGATGTAACACGGATGCGGCGTCAGTCCCGACCTTAGCAGGAGGAACAGTAAATTGGTCACCGTCTGCCCTGGTGAAGCTCTGACGCGACAAAACCAAAGATGATTCATCATTTTGATCCTTGTGATTGGGAAGGAAAACCAAGAACAAGTCATGCATGAGCAGGCGCTGAGGCAAAGAGTGAGTGGGTGACGACTGGGTGTGTGATGTAAATGGGGATGCTACTAACCAGGACACACTGCTATGTTGCAGAGTTTGGTCTGAATCTCGGGCCGTCCACAAGCCACTGCAACGCCTTCCTTTACACACTTCCTGGTTCGCGTCCTGGAGCCCCGCCCACAGGTCACAGAGCACAGACTCCATAACGACCACTCCTCCCACAGCCCATGCACTGCAAACACCCACAAACGCACAACATGGGGATGAGGAATGCGGACGGGAGGGTTTGGAGCATCCAGCCGCAGGCGCGAGGGTTTTGAGAATGAGAGAAACATGAGATATTAAATGAGTTCAAGCACATTCCTTAAAAGAAATTTGAAAAAACACAATGTCGTTACCCCACAAGACCAATACAGTTCTATTGGAAAAGAAGCACTGACAATGATGCTGCACTTATATGTTGCTACATGGAACAAAATGGAGGTTCGGAATGAAAATTTGGAAATGTGTCATGACAAGGAAATGTGGTGCGTTTACTCTGAAATATTCGGTGCCCTCAATAATTAGTGAACATAAGTATCCAAACACTTTACTTTAAACAGATATCATGCTAGTACAAATGTCCTCTTTCTACCACATGCCCACCTATTTTTAGCAACATATGAAAATGAAATACATCAAAATAGAGTAAATGAGGAAAGTTGGAGAAAAAACGTGAACGTAGTTTTACTCAAAGTAAGATCTCGCAGACGCAAGTCTAGTTGATCCGTGTTTTGACACTGGCAGTTTTTCCCGCAAATAATGGCTTAAATAACTGATTTGAGATTGGTAGAAAGAATAACAGAAAGAAAATGAAAGACATGTTCAACAGGAGACTCCGAGAAGCTACGTTTACCGATGGGATTGTATAATGAATCTCGAACGAGATTTATATTTGATGGACGTGTGAGATTATGAAACAGATTTGAAAGAAAAAATATCTGCGCTAATAAAGTTTAAAACTCACAGACCAAGAAGCGTTGGGAATTTTTTTACAACAATGTTTCGGGAAGAAATGTTGAGCCAGAGGAGTTAAAGAGGAGAGGAAAGAGAGAGGAGAGGACTCGGGGAGATGCTAGAAGAAAGATAAAAAGCAAGACGTAGAGACGGGGAGGTACAGAGGGAGATAAAGTTAGAGACAGCAGGATGGATATTGCTGCTCCTGTGTTGAGCAAAGCTAAATAAATCATGGCAATAAATAATTAAGTCTACTCTGTGAAGGAAGGCTCAGAGGAGGAGTAGGAGGCTCAGAGAGAAGAAGATGACGGTGGTATTAGAAAGTAAGGAGACATGAGGAGCACATAAATGCAGATATATATAGTATCTGTTCTGTGGTATCTGTACATCTTTTGTACTCTTCCTCCTCGATCTTTCGAATCGACTTGAATGCATTGGGTTTTTTAAATTTACACTAAAATATCAATATTTTTTGCCAAACTTTGTTGATATATTTCAAAAGATACAGTACTCGAATGATGTTTAACACTCATTATATATATACACACACACACACACACACACACACTAATACGTAATTAAGCCCTCAAATTTAGGTATTGTTCGGTCTGAGGTTCAGTTTGGGATGTCTGAGTCATACTGTGGCCAACAACAAATAACTATTCCCAATTTAATTTATTTTAAATGGATAGTTACATGGCTCAACAGTCAGAGCCATTAAATAAAGATTTGTGAGCTTTTAAATTGCAATTTAGTAACACATGGTGTTGTTTAAGTATTTTATTGCGGGATCATGGGAATAGTTGTGTGCTGACAAAATATTTTGATGTTAAACTTGGGACAACATTTATTTTACACAAAAATGCAATTTAATGAGTCATGAAACATAACAGGCACACTCCGAGTGGAAGCAGATATTTGGGGTTATCTTATCCCAAATCGCGAAACATTCTCAAAAGACAGAAGTAAGTTGATACAAGACATTTTTTCATCAACACCAGAGGATTGCTTGAAATACATTACGTATTCATCTGAATTCATATCTCTCAGCTCCAATATAAGCGTATCTGAAGTCTGACGGCAAAGCCAATCAATTAGCCTATAAAATCGAGCTGCAGGAAGCTTTTGGACAAAGACACATTAAAAGGAGAAAATATCAATTGGATACGGCGAGAAGGGTCAAAGCACATCCGCAAACTAAAGAGCGAACATGATATAAATGTCTGGGTTATGTTGGGTTGCAATCGGTAGGTATACTGATATTTCCAGTCAAATACAAAAGAAGGATGGGGCTTGTGTAATTTATTCTTTGTATCTAAACACCAACAACTACAATAACATCTCTCTCCGTTAGATCATCTGTGGACGTTATAAGGGCGGTTATGCCATCAGGGTTTTAGTCACAGAGGGAGGTTGCAAAGAGCATGTTTACAGCAGCGAGCACACAGAAAAAAATAATTCAATAACAAAATGTTCAGCGGTAAGCCAACCACAAAGGCATATGTCTGTGTTTCATAACAAAGGAGAAAAATTCAACTTTAAAGACCTTAAGAAATTCACATCTGTGAGAGTTAGATTCAAGTTACGCAGCTAAATAATGTGCAAAGAATGGAAGCACATAGACACACTTCCAATGGCGTGCGCTTCTGATCCAAAAGAAAGTATGCTCAGATAAGAAAAGATAAAGAGAGAAGATAAAATGTCTCTGCTCAACCTTCTTCTTTTACACACATTTTCACACAAACAAGAGCAAACATTTGCATCACCAGAAAGAATAAGCATGTGCATAATAAGGTTGTATGGCTTCCATTCTCGTCTTTTAAATGTACTATTACGTTTTGATTACTTATTCCTAGCTTTTTCAAACGCATGGTATTAATATGAATCATTTATTTTCCCTCTTACATCATGAGGCAGTATTATTAAACACCTTATGTCATAGGCTGTGTGCGTTTGTGTATTTGTGTGTTTGCCATATGCATGACTCTGCACCGACTCCACGACTGCATCCTTGGATGGAGCCTGAGTCTCCAGCTGAAAGGATTATGGGAAGAGTGATGTTGCAGCGTTTGACTACGCACTGACCCAGACATACTGTATTCATAATGCACCATTGTTCAACTCCATGTTTTAAATGTCACTGAATCTATAGCCAATGAGCAGAAGCTAAATAGAACCAAAATAGGGGTGCTACTTCACTTGGCACGCTTTGGGGCATGAATGCCTTCTACTTCAGTGCACATTCTTTAAGAAAAGAAAATTGTAATTTACCAGACCAATTAAAGCCTAGTTTGCTTTGTCAAGTTACGAACCATTAATTAAAATTGATTATATGTATCACCTTAACTTAAGAGTCTTACCCATAAAAAAAAAAAACGAGGAGAAAAACAATTTCCACTTTCACTTTATTGGCTTTCTGTCCAAGCTATTTTTCTTTGATGTTCCATAACTCTTGCAGACCAACATACACACAAGCACAGAGATGTGCCCAGAGACAGATCCACCCACACAACACACCCGTACTCGTTAAAGCCTAGTCTGACCACGGATGCAACAGAAGATTCTGGCATTAGGATGGTTTGGGAGAAACAATGTGTATACCAATGTTGCCTGTGTGCAACTACAATACATGTTATTTCAATTAGAAAGTATTTTTCTAATTGAAATATGATGTACTGTAAACATACTCATAGTATGTTTCTATAGAGTAAACATATTGGCAACATTATCTACATGGAAATTGTTCAAAAATACTTGTTTTAGTAATTAAGATACTAGATTGTGGTTTCGGGGACTGGATTGGGGGTTGAAACGATTGCAGTCTTGATTAGAGTGCCTGTGTGTGCTTTTGTGCCTGCCTCGGTGTATTGTTATGTATGTATTTGTTTAACTGGCTACGAAGAACACAAAGCTGGAATCCAGCAGCAAAGAGATCAGTAAATCAATCAAACAAAGGATCTTCCCGCAAATGAAGTCAAAGAATAAAAGAAAAAAAAATTGTTCAGATAATTAAAGACGCAAGTCTCCTTCATACCACCCTCACATTCCCAGTCTGTTTGAATTTGATGTGATTCCATTCAGGCAATCCCAAGAGTGCCCCTACAGCCCTCCAGAACCACATCAGAAAACATCAGAGAAGTTGAGGAAAAATTAAATAATAAACGGAACATAACCAGCAACCAATATCCCATCAAAGAGCGGCTGAGGGTATTTATATCGACACTGAATGAAAAATGAGGCACTTAGACATACAAATCGTGTTGGTACATCTGCATAAAAACAAGATTAGCATAGGCACCAAGTGGGAAGGAAAACATCGCTTTGGCTTTCTTTCTTTTTCCTTTTCCATTCGGGGGGCAGTTGAGAAACATGAGCCCAACACTGACCGGCTCCTAACTAATGCATGAACACACACGTGCTGTAAATACACAAAATGAAGTATACTTCATTACGTAGAAAATGCAAATAACCCAAAATTGCCTTTTAATTATAATGACAATTAGGAATCGCATAAAAAAACAATAGACAAAGCTCTAACAACACCCACAGTTCAGTTTAATGCCGACAAACGAACACAGAATGAAAACTACGTATAAACATCATAAACACACACCTATCTGTGTACAATGTACACAGCCAGACATGTAAATGAATGCATGTATTTGCAACCGAGTGAGTCGACAAAAACACTAACGACAAGTAGAGGAAATTTGAGTCGAACTTCAATCTATTTTACTGATATATGCACATATTCCTATTGTATAAGCGTATTAAACCCCACGAATAACCTAAGAAACTAACTCTTAAATAACTAATGGGCTCAAAGGCCTCGTCTAACGATGGGACAATATAAACGTAACGTTTAAGCCCAGTGACGACACCCCATGCTGTGACGCTGACATTTAGACAGCCGCCGCCCCACTTTTGCTTTGAGTTATCTGTCCCAAGAGAAGTTATGGTCATGACTTTTCATTTTACGGCCCGTCCTCGAATGTAACACTGTCGTTATTAGAATGGGCGTGGAGGAAATTCACGCCGTCCTCCTGTGAGGCTCCTTCAGGTATCAGAGAGGTTAGCCTTGAAACTAAGCCACTCCGTACCAGAGTAAAGTGAGTTTTTTCTTTGTTCATTATAGGGTTTAACAGCCGGTACATCGGAAAACACTACTTTTGTCATATTATTGATCGGAAAGCTGTTGGTGTAGACAAACAGCATATGTGGCTCCGACGTCCTGTGACTCTAGTTAAGACGGCGGGAGGATTGATCTTCCAAAAACCTCCATTGGGCCGCTTTTCTTTGATTGAGCTAAGCACGTCAACAGAACTTTGGTAAGGAAACCAGTGACGACGACGATGATGATGATCTACTTTCTAAACACCAATCCAGATGCAATTCCTGAGGTCTTACCTAACGCAAACTTTGACAGGTTCGCACATGGAAAACATATATATGGCTATATAAGACACATTAAAGTGCACGGGAAGTGCACGGGAAGCTGGAAGAAACTTTTTTCATTGGTTTCTGGTGGAGTTTTGGTCTTAAAAGAGAACTGCATCGATTTGGTATCGCACAGTTGACTAACAATGGAGAGTAAAAAAAAAAAAAAAAAAAAGAAGGAACAGAACATCAGGAGTATAGACTTTTGTATCTCAAGCATTTATCCTTGTCAAAACCTCGCAGCTGCATCAACCACAATGCAACACAACTCAACAGTTCAGTTGCAGACCGATGGGTCCTGTGCTAGTTTCGGGTAATGCGGCCTCAAGCTGCTAACCTAAAGCATGAAAGAGGAGCAGGCTACTGCGGTTTTCATTGTACCTTTAAACCTGTGAGGCTCATCTACTATGGTAATATCATTTTAAAATAAATATGTGTCTGCAGAATAAGTAATACAAATATGACATGAGTTTGTTATGATCTACAGTTGCTCGACCGAACAGGTTATTTCTGAATCCCGGTGGTTGGGGACTGAGTATAAGCAGAGCAGGGGGGTGTAGTCCGGGTAGGAAGAGAGCCAGCGCCGTCCAGGATTCCAGTTCAATTGCAATCAGGACATCCAATCAAACCCGAGCAGGAGAGGCGGTACTTCACCATTTCATCTAGTAACTCTGGCAATCAAACCAGAGCTGAACTCAACATTATTCAGCATGAGTAGTACACAGTCCCTCAGCAAATTTATCCGGCTTGATTGTGTTGTACGCTGCGGAGGAAGAAAGGATGAGGTGCTCTCCTTTGTGCTATTGCCTCGGCGTAGCGAGCAGATACAATTGAACAGACTCACCCTGAATGGTGGCGCGTGCGTGCAGATGACAATTGCAATTGATTGGTTGAATATACTTTGCAGCTGCCAGTACATTTAAAACAAAAACTTGTGAAAGCAAAATCTGTTGTCAGGTGTGCATCGTGTTTTTTTCATGTGTGAAATGACGCGACTAAAGGGCATACTCAATCTGACGGTTCTTTTCTCCTACATCGAGTTTAGATTATGTGGATGAGCAGAGCCCATGTGATGTGTGCGTGTCGCCTCCCTTCCTCAAATTTTATTATGTCTTCGTAAAGCCTTCTTATCACATTCTAAGCAGAGAAGTAAATGCTGCGTTGGTGATTGGCGAAGTAGAGCGTTTAGGGTTCGCAGTAGTCACACGTCCATAACAGATCATGGAAAAAGATGGCGTGTCGCGCCCCAACTGCACTGCTCATCCGTCTACTATGTAAATGAAAATACACCTAACAAAGAAACATCACCATCCGTCATTCTTGCTGCGAGAAAAACCCGACTAACCACTGAACTCGGCGAATGCTCAAAGGCGGCCGTTTGAGAGGACAACATACCTGAGCCTGTGCCTGTGCTGCCCGGTTCCCCCGGACAGGTAGCAGTGTTGTTGCACATGCGAGTTTCCCGCAAGGCTCCGCTGCAGAGTGTCCCATAAGGAGAGGAGACGCAGGATCGCGTCCTCACTTGCCAGCCTTGCCCACATGTGAGCGAACACACACTCCACTGGGACCACTCCTCTGCCGCGGGGTCACCTGGGGAGCAAGACGGAAGTGGACAGAAACAGGGTGATTCCCAACGATTCCACTTCCATGATGCGAATGTTTCCACGAGTCAGGGAGAACGGAAATAGTTAGTGGGAAAGATGTTAATAGGTGCAGTTTGAGTCAAGAGGAGAAAAGTCAAGGTTGTCCGGTCAGTCTCTCATGTTATCATGGGCGGGAATCAAGTCCTGCACAAAATATTTATTCTATTGAGTCTTGTAAGCAATTCCTGTTCTTATACTTTATGAACTGAAGTTAAATAAAATTATTGCAATATTACCAAGAGAAAATAACAAAGATAACTGTCCAGAACAAAAACCCTTGGGGTTATAATAATCAGCCTGTCTTTATAGTTTTAAGTTAAGAGAACACAGGAGCATAATTTGTTGTATAAAATAACTTGGTTTGTATGCTTCTATAGGTTTTTGAAATGTATTGTTTTTACACAGCCTGCCGTGTGACGCTTTATCAAAACCCAATATACGACGCGCCTGCACACATTATTATTACGGAGGATATGTAATTCAAATCAAGCCCCTTATGTGAATAAAGCTTGATTGCCTTTTCATATGAATGGTGATCCTGTTGGAGATTCAACAACATTAATACCCATGAAATTATGATAACACGTACTAAAGGGGCTATATGCCAAAAAAAAAAGGATGTTAATATATAACATTTGTGCGTTGTGCGTCCCATTGTTCCCTCCGAGATTCGCCCTTTAAAATAAAAATAAAAAAACAAGTGTCAAGCCATCTCCCGTTGCTTTTTCCAAATTGCTTGTGAGCGCTGTGTCCTTTGATAGGGGCGTCGTCACATGGCAAAGAAGGAAATCAAATTAATTGCATGTCCGTTAATCGCATTACATCTCCATTAACATGCCGTGAGTCAGTGCTTAAGCTCATCACATATGCCTGCAGGAATGAAAGAATGGGGAGGAGTGTGGGGGGGGCAGAGGAGAACACAGGGCCAAGGGTTTCCCTGGCGGAAGGGAGTCCCTCCTCCATGCAGTGGGAGTATGGAAACGTGTGTGTGTGTGTGTGTGTGCGACTTATCCTGGTGGGGATGAAGCAGCCAACATGTTACGTCTTGTATGTTTGAAGCCATACGTGGGACGTCCTCTGTATGTATGTGTTATGAATAATTAATCTCCATTCCAATTGTATTAATTATGTGCATTTTTAGAGTCTACGTATGAATGGCCAACAATAGCTGACCTGGAGTTCAGCCATGCTTAACAAGATAAATGTACAATGGTAATGCGAAGGAACTCTTTATTCTTCGCTTCACATACGGCCTGTAAACATCAGGTTGGTGACTTCTGTTCCGGGCCGCGAACTCATGCACACATCACTCACCGGTTTGTGCCTGAAACACACCTGGCTGGTCAGCTGATCGTGGTCTCTGGGTCTTCACCTTCAGATCGTCCTCATCATATGGGTCTGAAATTGACAAATGACATTGATTTGTCTCTTTTTCATACCTTTTGATTTGTACAGGTACAGTATTTTTGTAACCACCGCAAACTGAAACTCTTGTCTTGTAAATAGGTCCTCATCGGAATCAACTTCCTCTTTGTACATCCAGTGCATTCAGGAAGTCAAAAAAGCACGTTGTAGAGTACATCCAAAACACGACTCCGGAAAATAAAAATACAAACGCCTACAATTCCTTGGCTTGCTCCTTGTAGCAGAATATTTACAGAACACGGTGATACATTTCAGCAGACACCGTGTAGAAAAATAGAACGAGGTCTGCAGTATAAAATTCAGGAGTAAAGTAAATCCTGATATTCTAATCAGCTTAAAGGCAAAACAAGGATTGTCGAGAAGAAATATACATACTAAAATGTGTGTACGCAAAGAAAGTAAGAAATTATCCTTTTTTATGAAACTGTACAACATCTGAGTTACACAAGGAAAAAAGTCTGCGCCTTACAAACCAGTGGGTGGATTTGAAGATGAAAACCTTCAACTCGGCGAGTGAGCATCAGTTAAAAGTGTACAATTACCTAGAGAGAAAGTACGGGGAAAGCAAAAGCGTGCAAGGCATCCAAGTCGGTTTTATCTCAATTGTTACAAACATATGGAGGCGCGAGCGCAGCCCGTTCTGAATCTGTGAAAATGGATTTGTAGGCTTAGTTTCAGCAACACAAGACTTAATCAACTCCCTCAGGAGGGAAACAATCTGTGATTTAGCAGATCCTTTTCACTTGGGTACTTCTCGCCCGTGGGATTCTTTGCAGCGGGTTGTATTATTCACACAAGGCAGAAGAGACATACAGCGTATCTAAGGTACGTTATCTTCACGGAAAGTGCCAGTGTGTGCTTATTGGATTACAGAGCGCAAGAGGGATTGATACTGAAATTGTCTCAAATTAGTTCCTATCAAGGAGTTGACCTGATGAAGAACAAAACAACATGGACGCTTAATTCGACCTCCCCTACGTTCCAATCCACACTAGCATTAATCCCTTGTAATAGTGCTAAAGCTCTCTCATGATGGAGCATTGCAAACTGTCGTCTAAATTGGCCTCTTGCAACAACAACTCTGTGTTTTCATCCTCAAGCTCTTTCAATGACGCCGTCTTCCTCTTGCTCCCATTTCCTTGGTTCAACAGACATTTTATTTACGGGTTTATTCTGTAAATACAAGACGACGACATATGCGCTTAAAACGACTGTCTGACTTACATGTTTTAGACAATTATTACACCCAACCTGAACACATAACTCGAGATGAACCTGTAAGTAGACTCAATGATCAGCCAACACTTTAAACACACCACTGCTTCCATCTGTAAAGTGACACGACATGCACCTGCGCACGGGGAAACTCTCAGGCCCCGGTGACCCCGTGACCCCGGTTACTGGCGCTACAATGGCGATAAAACGGTAGCGCGCGAATAGCTTACTTTAGCTAAGAATGCTAGCTCTAGTTAGCTGCCCACCAACCCGCTACTTCCACCTAGTGGCGGAAACGAGTATCGCCCTACTCAAGTCAAGTATTTTCAGACGATATTTATTTTACCTCTTCACCTCATTCATACGAAAAAGTGGAGCGTAAAGATGCACCTAGAAAGTCTTCCGGGATGTACACTCATTTATTTTCTATGTGTGCATGGGCACAACACAAATGCTCGGCTGCTATGTTATGTGACAACTTCCACCAAAAACAACAAGATGTTGATGGTTTACATTTCCAGAGTTCCTGGCTAAATTGTTATCTTTATTGTCATCGTCATTACAAAAACAGTACTTATCCTCCTCACAAAAAAAAACCTGAATACAGCGCATGTGATGTGGGAAAAACTGGCACCTCAAAACTTTTCAACCAGTGGTTTTGCTCTAACATAAGTAATATGACAGTTTCATCTTGGTATAAGTATTTAGTACTATATATATATGTATATATATTGAAGGATTCTTTTTGTTCACAAATAATGAAAAGTCAGCTTCGGAGGGTTTTTTTAATTTTTAAAAAAAATAAGTATTTCCATTATTAAACACTAATACGCTACAGCTGATCAAATATGCATGACAGGCAGAATTTCTGCAGACAATGTTTGGGCCTTCGTCACCCTTTGAAAATCCTCTTGCTGTTCTTTTCTTGGTGCCACGAAGCCCAACAGCCCATGCACATAGAAAAACATGAGCTGCGAACCCCACTGATCCACCGAAGTGAGTTTGGTTTAGGTTCGAGGACCGACTGACTACTGGAAGGATTGGAGACAACGAGTGACAAGATAAAACTAACCTCAGCGGGATGGCACTGCGACAGAGGAAGTGCCGGCCCCAATCCGGGCGTTTACGGATCACTTCCTGGCAGAATACGGCCTAAATTAAGCGCTGTGTGTGGGCCTATATTCTTCGCCGCTGTGCTTCTGAGACTCGGAGGTCAGTGAAGCAGGAGTAATGCCTCACATAATATGACCATTGAGGATTACATCTCGCCATATCTTTATCTCTTTCTCGCTCTGAATCTCTCTCTCTCTCCTTTAGGTCTACAGCACAAAAGATCATTTAGATGGACAACTGTGCCGAGTCGTGCACAATCGAAGATAAAGATCAATATGGATAAACCCCCTTGGAGCACTGACCTTTACAAACCCCTCTATATTGTTTAATGTTGTGAACCGCACTTTAATGGACACATCGTTGCACACTTCATTGAATCTTCTCCCGCTCTCTCATCACTACATTTCTTTTCACCCATTTCAGCTTTTTCTTCATCTCCAGGGGAATCTATTTTCCATCTATAACTGGCAACTTCTCTTCTTTCTATCGGGAGCCAGGTCTATAATCCTATGACCTGTTGGGAGCAGCGGTTTGATGTTGTACTTGTAGTAGTGCTGATGCTTTAGTGTCAGTGAAGGAAACGTGCCTTTTAAGATGTTGCCCCCGACAAATGAAGAGATCACCGTTGCTTTGACAGCAGTGCGCAAACACTATGGAGTAATGGCTCATCATCAATATCTTGTAGTCAGTGAGGACATTTGGGTGCATCCATTCGGGATTCTACTGAACACCTCTTCTCTGAATCTATCCAATGGATTTAGTAACAACACTTGTTGTGTTGTAAGAACAAAAATACAAATGCTGAAGAAAAAAAAGTGCACAAACCTGCTTCCGTCAAACCACTTAGGGTCCTTCCCCCTATCTATGGCCATGCATTTAGAGCCAAAGTCTTTGTGATTGTCCGGTGCAAACTCTGATAGCCAATTTAGGAGTGTACCTTGCAACTACTAACAAGGCCCTGTTACATCTGTGCATGTAAAGAAATGATTATTTCAAGATGACACTTGATGTGGTTCTCTTGTCTGAACCCAACTGCTAACCATGAAGCAATAGTTCAGTTACCTCTTTGCTTGAGGCCATTAAATGCATTTGCTCCCTGCAAAATGTTGATAAAGTAGCACGTTGAATGAAAAAGTCATAACTGGCTGAGAGCTTTTACTCGGGTGGCCGAGGCTTGTGTCAGCTTCCTCAACTCGATGCAAAGACCAGTGGATTAACCGGGAAGTGAAAGCATTAACTCAGCATATTGAACATTTAAATACAAACATCAAAGCTCAAATGTACTGTGACTTGCTAAACACATTTACACAATAAGATTTAACTACGGCTAATGCAGTAGCTTAGTTTTGAGCCCATACAAAGCAACAGGCTGGGGAAGAAAATTGAGGCAGACCCAGTTAGACCTATAGGCTCCTTTATCAAACTGAGCCGGGATTTAAGCCCAAACTGACGGTATATATGTGTGTGTGTGTGTGTGTTTGTGTTTGAGGATTGCATTTAAAAATATGGTAAAAACAGCTGTATTATGTACAGTATATGGCGCGCACAAAACCGTGGCACGGAAATGTTTTCTGTTGACTACTGTCAGCGCTTTCCGTGCAGCGACAATGATTGAATGCACCCTCATGAAAACGCACACTCACAAACACAAACACACACGCGCACACAGCCATTTCTCAGCCGTATATATCAAATCTGAGGTTACAGCTCGCTGGTGCCGTCCATTTACTCCAGGGCCCATCTGGGAGAGCCCAAACTGATAGAACTGTACCATAATGGACTTTTTATAAGCTACTGGACAAACAGACCCACTCAATCTCTCTCTCTCTCTCTCTCTCTCTCTCTCTCCATCTCTCTATTTCTCCATTGCCACCTTCTCCGTCAGCAGTAGATACAAAGAGAGAAGTGGAATCAGGTTGGTGCAGGACAGCGTCTGCCTGACTGTGAGGCCTCAAGGTCATTTGTGTGCCTTCAAAATGGATTCAGAAGCCAGTTTTCTCAGCCGCACGGGCTGACTGGTTTGTGTTGCACCCGCACAATGCGCACAAGCACACACAAAACCTACGCACACACGCCAACACAAGCACTGGTATACATCGAATTTGGCTTTGTTTGATGTCTTTTTCCATCTCAATCTCAAAATGCCTTTTTTCCCATTTTTCTTTCTCTTTTTAGCCATTTTATAACCTTCCAACTCCCACAACGGAGTCGTCCAGCCAAGCGCTCTGCTCTCCACCTTGACCCGTCTCCTTCAGTGTGCCCTTCTCTCAATCCTTTAACAAGATGATCCTTTTGATGGATTGATAGTGCAGCAGGGCTACAATGAAAGAGCAATCAATGCAAGGATGGCTAGGACAACTTATTTAAAGCACAGGCATGCAAGATGACTGTGATGCATTGACCTGGTTGTGCGTTAGCATTAAGCCAGTGTAGCAGAGTTAACAACAGAGCTAGAAGCGTTTGCAGCGTGTAGTTAAGCCTGTTAGTGTTGATTTAAACTAATAACAGCGATTGAAAAGAGATCACAGGGAATGCAAAACGAAACTAGCCTTGTCGTGACAATCGGTTGAAGAGTTATTGAGATGCTTCAGCCAGCAGACCAGCCGAATACCAAATCAACCAACCAAACATTGTTGCCATCAACA